TGCAAGCCAATTTCAACTGGTATTCAAAATCATTATGGAAGAAAACGCTAACTTTTTGGCTACAAAGGGTATGATATGGAAAAATACTATACCAAGAGCACCATGGGGGGGTGGTGTATATGAAAGACTTATAGGACTCATAAAAAGGGCATTAAGAAGAGCAATAGGAAGAAAACTTCTAAAGGAAGGAGAATTAATAACATTAATAATTGAAATAGAAGGAATCCTTAATACCCGTCCATTAACTTATGTAGGGTTCGACGACTACAGAATCATTCGTCCAATTGATTTTATATCACCTATGGCTTCATTAGATCTACCAATAAATTATGATAGTGACCAAGATGAATATACCCCTTATACAATAAAGACTAAAGATAAATTAGTCAAGTATTGGACTACCACTCTTAACACATTAGATGTCTTTTGGAAGCTGTGGAAAGAAAAATATCTTACAAGTCTTAGAGAACGCACACAAAGAGAATTAAAATCACCTAGAATAATAGAAAAAGAGTACCACATGAAAATGAGATAGTATTACTAAATGAACCAGAAATACCTCGTGGTGTATGGAAATTGGCAAGGATAATAAAAATTAATCGAGGATGGGATGGAAAAATAAGGAGTGCAACAATACAATTACCGAATGGAAAACAAATCGATCGATCAATAAATATGCTTTATCCTATGGAAATAGATGCTACTGAAGATAAAGAAGAAAAAGTGGAAGATGAACCAGAAGAACCCATTGCTCGACGAACCAGAAGTGCTAAAAATCACAAACTACAATCTACGCTAAGGACAAGTCTAATCTTTTGATAAAAACTTTATCATTGATAACGATGATGTCATTAATACCAAGACAGGTATTAGCTAACAATAGCTGTAATTGGATTACTGGAGTACCCTTTAATATTCCTGAAAAATGGAATTGTGAAGAAATTATTCACAAAATACTACATATCACAAAGTGGATGTGTACACACGCACCCATGTAAGAATACCAGCTATAAAATGTAGTAACATTACACGGACTGTATGCACGAAAGCCTTTCTCAGAATATCGCTATCGGTAGTGTCAGACTATACGTCTACTACCGCAACTTCTTCACAATTCTGCAGATATTTAAATGTTCGGAAACAAATGAACGGAATTGGACTAATTCAATCTTCTCCTAATCAATGGATAACGAATAAGGAAATACAATACTCCTATGGATGGTTAGGAATTAACTGTCAATCAACTTCAAACTTCATATTAACTCAAGGAGAAATTCTCATCTACGATGGAAGAGGGTTAGTCTCTAACCTTGAAGATATAAAAGACTGTTCGACACAAAAGGGTGAATGCATAACGAATACTAGCATTATCATATGGAATAGCAATGATACGACCAATCATTGTTTATATCGAAAGATCGGAAGATTCAAGGCTACAAAGTATAACAACCACTTCATCATCGATGAGATACAAGCATCGCTTATAATTGATAAAAATCCCCCTATATTAAACACCAAAAATTGTAGATTCACTTCTCCAATTTTAATGCAGGGCGATATAGTTATTGAACTAGACGTTGAAAATGACTCGAACTCTACTACAAAATTCAAACGAAGAGTAACAAACAAACTATTGATGATGGAAAAGTCTCCGGATAGAAAGTACGATCCTGAAAACGTAAAACTTCAATACCTTTCTGATTCACTAAGACAAGAATTCCTTCAACAACTCAAAGAAACACAGCAGAGAAGTTGCCAAAACAGAAATAACTTATTACTTTTGATCAAATGGCTATCAATCAGCAATCCTACTCTTGCCACGAAACTAATACTTCAAAGAAACGATGTGATAGCTAAAAGAATTAACGGAAATTTGATGGTGGCTCCTTGCAAATCAGAACAATCAACAATTGAAAATATCGAATTCAAAGGAGATTTAATAAGTAAGTTTGAAATTGAGAGAATTAATGCAGAATTGGAAATCCTAACTCAAACTCAAAGAACAATTAATTCAATACCACATCAAATGAAAGATGAACTCTTTTGGCAAGAAATCTCTGAAGAAGGAGAAGAAATTATCAAACAAATGGAAAAGGAATTCAATGAAATTGTTCTACCGATAGAAGAAGAATTTGAAAACGTGATAACACATTGGAAATTGATTTTTATCTGTATAATTATCGTGACAATATTAACTATTTTAGTTATTATTAAGTGTAAATTTAAATTAGTTCAATCCCTCCTTTGTAATACTTCAAAACGAAATTCAAATCAAGCTACCATTATTACTCTCCCTACAGAATCACCACACACTCAATTCATAACTAAAGAAGAAATCCCACCTATTAAACTCCGTACATTTAGCTATATACCTCAAAATCACTCTCTCAAAATTATATCTTAAAACAACTTCTCTCCCCCTTCGGGAGTGTCGCGAATTATAATTTCGCGAAAAACTTCTAACTGTCGTGAAAGACGAAATATTTAAATTATTATATCCAAAACTAACAAATTCCTCTTATCTAATTCCTAAATCTAATTTACATTTACAAAATTCATCTCACACCTGATGAATCAATTTCCGAATATTTTTGCATTTGTAATTCAGCTATGACTCATACTAATCTATTCCCTCCTTTCATACAATAAAACTAATCTTGTTAAATAGCGATAAGATGTGATAAAAATAATTAACACCTGCAAAACTGTTTAGGGAAATCATTACATTGTTAACAATCTTGTTTTTTCATCCATAGAAATTCTTCCATCTAATTTCCATTCATTAAATCAGTTTTATATATAAACTAACCAATATCAGTCCCTTCATGCTTAGACACATCCAATTCTCACTCATATAAATTCAATTCTAATAAACAAAACAATAAATTATCATCATTGTCGACTACGCTCGTTTAACCAAGATCAACTCATCCAATCTTCTTCTTTATTATAAAATTTCTTCTCTTCTTTTACTGCTCTGTTTATTAATACTAAGTTTGCGAAAAATAAAGACTTATTAATCTAATCCTTCTACTGTATTGCAAACGATTCCAATATCAACCAACAGACAACCTTTCACGACAAGTAGTATCAATTGTTTTTTTTTTTTTTATACTCAAAAGGTGTTAGCATTAATAAGATGAAACAATTTTATGAATGAAAAGAAATGAAATTAATATTGCAATATAATTTTGCTATATAGTATTCCAAAAAGGAAATCACACACATTTAGAAAAACTAAAAAAAATCTATTAATGACAACTAATTTTTTTCTTTTTTTTTTTTAACTCATAATTCATTTCCTATCATAGTATTTGAAGAAATAAATAAACTTCCAGAATTTTTAAAAATTATTTCTTAGAAAACAACATTAGTAATGAATGCATTAATTCGATTATTGATCATTTCACTCGATTCCTTTAAATAATAGAAATAGAATCTAACTTCTATTTCTATTACTTAGAAGTAACAAAAGATCCATCCTTGTCCATAATTTTTATGTCCCAAAAGAGCCTACTTCATTAACTCATCATCAATTTCGTATGTTACAAAAGTGCCTAATCCATAATTTGCCATTACTATAAAAAGTCTACAAAACTTGCACCCTAAATAATTGCTATAATACTATACGACAAAATTCACAATTTTCGTGAAATTTTTCCCGATATTTGCTGAAGATGTATCTGTGAAGTAATTTCTAGCCAATATCTAAAAAAAAAAAACTAATTGCATATCTTAGATTTAAGAACGTTGACGTTGTTGACACAAATGTTGACAAAAAACACGACTTTTACGACATGTCACAGCCTTATATATATTAGATTACTAACTGTATACATCTACAACAAATTTCTTGCAAAAACCTGTAAATGCATCATTTCATCATCGAATGAAATTAATTGAACATAAACATTAAGCATTAAGCATGAATGAACTGAGTGCATCAATACATCAATGTACATCGACATGGCAGCAACATTAATTAAGTCATAAATTAATCATTTTCAACTATACAAATATGCACACAGGAATACATGCATACAAGTGAACAAATAAGCAATGACCCGTCCAAAAGAAGAAGATATGAGGACAAGTATGCATAAAAATTTCGTATAAAACGTGAAATATGAAACAAATAAATAAGTTATGTTATATATTCCTCCTTTCAGTATCAAGTATTCCTTTCAGTAATACTTGATGTTCCAGAATAAATTTGTATGCAATTTAACAGCATTTTTACTTGAATAATTTTTAACTAGTTTTTCGTAATACTCTACAGATAGATAAGAAATAAATTCTCCTTATTGAATAATTTAAAGAAATATGCAAGGGTAAGTCAACTACTCTCACAAAGGAAAGTAGGAACAACAAGAACTTAAAAAGGAAAGAAATGCAAGAAAATAAGACAGAAGCTCAAAATCTTGTATTTAATAAGCAAAGCAATTTATATATTAATCGCAAAACAGGACAATAAATTCAAGCAAACAGTTCTGCACTAATTCATAATCAATATGAAATGGTGAAAATAAATTAAAATCATTCGAATTAAAAAATACACTACCTAACTGACTACTACTACCTAACTGGAAACAAATTCAAACATAAAAAAAATCCTTCACTTCTTCCCAAATCTTAAAAATCGGCAAGAATGGGCAACAATTTGTCATGAACTGTAAAACGATTTTGTTTAAATCAAGATGAAAAGATAAAGAATATGCACTAAAATTTTAACATTTATAGAGTCGTAAGATGACCAAAGCAGATGGTGCCATAATTATCTGAAAGAATTCTCTTTCAGTTTTTTTCAGATATTTAGTAATTTCTTTCAGCAATTCTGGAAGAGTGAAGAACTAAATAATGAGAAAGGCTACAACAATTCTCATTTCTGACTAACTTGTCACATAGTATCTTGAAAAGTTTCCATTTATTCCGACCTATTTGCTCATTTTTAAAAAGAAATTTTCAAAATCTCAATAGAAAAAATTCCACAATAACTTAAACTATTCAACCCTTAAATTTGCTAGAATTCTGAAACCATACAATGGTTCATCTAAATTTTCACTTTTGCGATTTCTCCTGCGTTTTTTACTTTTCCGCTTCCTTGTTTGCCACGGATTCTGTTCACTATGTGTTGAAAGTTGAGACGGTGGTCGATCAACCAATTCCATTAACCCTGGCATATTAGGAAGATTTTTTTTTGTTTCGTTTTCCGTTAGCAAACATGCCTCATTAAGTGGTAGTAGCAATGAAAGGTCGCGCAAAACTTTAACCTGAACAACGTTATCTACGTCACAAGTTACAGATGTGACTTCCTCTACCAGCTGCTGCTCAGGAAATGCATTCACTGAAATAGATTTATTCTTTCCTCTTATCTCATTAATTAACCCATGATCAATAATTTATGAAAATCTATTGGAAAATACAAGTTATTCGCTATTCAAATTGGACGTACCATACCGGTCGATTGAACATCGGAATTATCTTGAATAAATTTCTGAAGCTGCTCATCCATTACCTGTCCAGCAGCAGTGCGATTAATAATGGTAAAAGCATATGTAATAACAGTAGAATGAGTAGCATTACGATGTTTATAAAAACAATGATACAAACCAGTTCACCACTCTGAAATATAATTAGCTCCTCAGTATTAATTGTAAAATCAACCATACAACAAACCATAGCAAGAATCTATGCAAGGAGTAAATGTGACCTTTTGTACAAACTGCCTACAGAAACCATATTAATATTTGAATTTACAATATTGGCAACTACTGATAATGAAGGTCGATCAGTAAAGATACTTCATATATTTCAAAATGCCATAACACGCAATAAAATTAGATGGATCTTAAAAATCAAACAAAATATACCATTCATATGCCAAGATAACATGGAAATGTGCTTGAGAAGATGCCAGTGATACATCTGCATCATTAGTTCTACCTGCGACATGCTTCATTATCATAGTATGATGTGCTGGAGTAATTTCCTGCGGTAAAGCTTTCACTGTTTCACTGAGTTCTCTCAAGCTGGCTGCAAGAGCATCCATCTGCAAAGAATATCCCTATCATTACACTTTTTTCACATATCAAGTTTTTTGTCTTGGAACTTTTCGAAATCAAGAACCTGAAACTCATTCTTTTTCCAACGAAATGAAAACCAGGTTACAACTATCCTTCAAAAACACAAAAATTATTTCATGCTTTGAACTTGTGGATCAAACGCCTAAAAAAGGAACAGAAAACGATGTGTCTGAAATTGCGGCAGCTTCAGTCTCCGCTTCATATTCATCAATCATTGAAATCACAAGAAGTCGCAAGCGTACAGTAATGTTCGGTATGACAATAATTCCAACTGAAAAAATGCAATGCATGAAAATGCCCACATATTCCTCTTTACAATAAAGTTCTTTTTTTCTTTCATTCAACTGCTGTGAATTCTATTTAAGGTACCGATACGAGATGAAATATTTTAGAATTGCAAATTTCTTGCAGGAAAAAATTGATGCAACATGAGGACACATAGAAAAGCACTGAGAGTGTAATTTATAATTCAAAATTGGATTACATTATATGTTTGAAACCCGCAAAAATTTGACATACGAACGCGCAATAATTGGAAACCGTTGTATTTCACGATTGTTCTCAACGACAAAATCAATCACCTAAAGCCATCCATTCATTTGAAGGATAACGTTCACTGCCCAAAATTCTTATATTTTGCGGCCCTGATGAGAATAATTCGAAATTTGCTATTTACAAAACAGTTGGCTGAAAATTATTCTCTAAATATTAAGAAACAAACAATCAGGAGCAAACAAAACACATATAAATTTCAAAAAACGATGAATGGGAAATTTCGTTGAAATCTAACCTATATGAATAAATTTAAACCATTTAATTGGAATTCACACCTGTATCGTTTCACAAAGTTCAATAATAAGCCATTTATACTCTGCACGTTCACAAGGATTACGCATATAGTCAACCGCTTCTTTCTCATTCAATACGGCATTCTGCAATGCATCAAAAATCATATTATCTGACAGCGAACTAGGCTAACGTTTCCATGAGAGCTGGGCTCCTAAGCTAACGTTGCCTTCATTGGTTACATATAGTGGCTAGCAAGTTTATCTTGAAATAAAGCTTCAATACATTTACGAAAACATGTATTGGTTATAATATGATTACCTTATTTTCAGCCTCATCATTGCTGAACAAAACTTTAGCACCACATTCTTTCGAAGCATAGTTCCTTGCTGTAGCTTCCTGAGAAATTATATTTGTCGACGTAAGTCCTTCTGTACCTTCAGTTTTTGATATAGAAATTGAACTGGAATCCATTTTCAAAGTCTCACCAGTATCCAAATACACAGCCGCTCTATGCTGGCTATTCTAAAAAGTTTCTATGTATCAAATAAATACTCATTTGTTCTGAAGGAATTTTAAAACTTCATTTTCACATTTTAAACTGAATCTGTTGTTGTTCAGCTTTCCTAATCTCTTCTTTTTTAAACTTTTCCTTAGTCCATTCATCAAATGTAACGATTGGAGGTTGCTCACTAGAAAGGAATAGTTAAATCAGCTTCTTGTGCAGATGAAATCGCATCAATTCCTGCTTCCGTATTCCTAAAATTTCACTGAAGATGAAGTACGCAAATAACTGATACCTTAAGACTGTTATTCGGTGACTTTATATATTTGCTTGAAAAGTTTATCAAACCATTCAATTTTATACTACAATTGAGAAGACTGGAAACTTAGAACCATTAATGATTGTATTAAACCATTCCGTTTTTTAATGAGGCTGAGCTCTTTTTATTTTTTTCAAATTAGTCAATTCAACTATTGATGATCGTCCAGCCAATTTAATTATTACTCTACAGAAATTAAAAAAAAAAAAAAAGAAATTTACTCCAAAAATAATGTAGATTCATATTTCACAATACTTTTCGCCGCATTTTCTATTGATTGTCCTGTTTCACCGTTCAATTTAGGACTTCTCACTCTAGATCTCGTATCATTATTTGTTGTATCACATTTATTATCTTCATAAATAGAGCAAACTGGGAAGCAATAATTAGGAAGAAATCTGAAATTCATAGTTTCCAAAGACTGTTGAGTCCCAAAAGACATGGAATTGGAACAAGCAAAAATCTGTGTAATTTAACAGCTGTGTGAGTTATTAAGATAATTTAGGAAATAAAGTTTAATTCTGTTAAAAACCTATTAATTTGATGCATAATAATCCTAAATCATAAATAAACCATTACAATAATAATAATAATAAATAGACCATCTAACAGAAAGATGGAAGATAAGGAAGAGACGAAAATTAAAATCAAGGAAGACGGAGAACTAATCAGTAATTCTTCTATTGCACTTGGTTTTATTATATGAGCCATTAGCAGGTTAAGTTCAAAAGAAATTCATTTCAGTAATCATTAAGAAATTGGAATTAATAAATTAAAGCAAATAAATAGAAGCGAAACAAGAAAGAGATTCTTAGAAGTAGACGGTGATTTATATAAAGCACGAAGCCAATATTTTACAGAATCTTAAACAAATCCTAGATGGATAAAAGAATAACAATGTGTACCGTATTAACAAGGACGGAAAATTTTTCATTATTTTTATTATTTTTAAGAAAAGGCTAAGTTATTAAGAGTTCAAAAAAATTTTAATAGTGTGCTAGTGTGCTTCATACAGCACACCTAGAGAAAAAAGAAACTTCTGTTTAATGTTTGAAATAGAAATCGAGAAATCGAGAAATAAAGGACGAATTAATTAGAAACACACCTTTTAAAAATCGAGATATCATAAGTCGATATTCATTCCATGTCAACAATCGGTACTAACACTAGAAACTGCATGAAGTATGCTATACATATAAATCTATAAAAGGCTTTCAGAGAGAATATTTTCGAACACAAAAAAAATCAAAAAATTAAAAAATTACTAGCATTTTCTGCATTCAGTGCAATTATTTCAAATTATTTTTACAATAACAAAGGACAAAGTGGTAGCGCACTGAATTTATATAATACTGCGTAATGAAATATAAAAACCGGTTATTATAAAACTTAGTACTCGTTAACAAACGAGAGTGAAATACTAACTCTGTGTGACCATTCTGAATAAAACTTACTTTAAATATAAAGAGAAAAAGTTATAGAGATTATTCCCAAATATATTTTCCAGCCTCCAACTGAAACACATCAGAGCGCTGCGTCAGTTCCCTGAAACTCAATATTAACTCTTCAGAAAAGGTGAATCGAATGACCTCTTTCTAACTTAAGTTCTTGAGCAAAAAAAAACACTTCCATATATCCCTATAAATTTGACTTTTCTTCGAAACAATATTTCCATCCTACAGTATCTATCAATCTTTACTATAATTACGTATTTCCTATCCATAGCGCAAAATATCTCTATATAATTAATCACAATACCCTTCACAGATCATTTATTATACCGCACTAATAGTCATCCACCGAATGTTATGTTTTCAGTTAGACAAAACATGAAAAGATAAAATATGGTATTGTAAATCTTATTCCAGATCTACAACTGTTATTTGAAAGGCATTGAATGAGCCACGAAACTGTTACAATAAAATAACACAATATCATTAATGGAAGTCGTTTATTTCATATTTGCAATTAACAAACATATAATTAATACCAATACAAATTCTGTACCACAATGTATAATTTATTTATTCTCCTGGTAAAATTTGCTCAACACGCTCAAATTGTTGAAGATTTTGTATAATATAAGCGATGTGCAATTAATATTAATAAAAAGTGACACATTCGTAGCTGAAAGAGAAGAATTAGGTATCACAATTAGAAGAATAAATCTCCCTAATTTTAAAAGGACTAAAAATTGAATTGCTGATGGCAAACACCACTGTATAATGAGAGAGAGAGAGATATAGAAATTTGCTTCCGCATGCAATTATCTGCGACAGAATTTTCCGTTAATCAAATGTATCTTATCTCTTGTGCTTATTTCGCGTTCTGCTGCTACACAAAAAGCATCTTTTATAAGTGATGTAGCTCGTTCAATTATCAAAAGCGGCTTCTCCACATCACCAGACATTGTTACCAAAGCAATCTACAACGAAAATTAGAAAGAATAATGAAAATTATCATAGTAGCAAACTACATAGACAATTACATGAGGCGTATGATGGGAAGACAGAAAACATGGAAATAAACAAAGACGATGTAAGATGCGATCAACCCGGTAATCGAAAAACGGCATAATCATTGGTTCAGCGCTACCAGAAGCAGTGTACGCGATATGTTCAATGCACCCAATGGGATCATAGCTAAATACAGCTCCTTTAACTGGAAAAAAGTTTTAAGAGCTACATGCAATTACAAAACTTCAGAATTTTTAACATGCTAATAATAAAGATTCTAGATGCTCAAAAATAATAATTTATACCTCATCAATACCGGTAATATTGCACCGGTATAATACGAAAAAAAAAGTCGATAATACAAATTTCGTGATAATAATTCGGCGCATAAATCTATGGTCATAACCCCACGATAATCAAATCGATGCTTGTGTAAACGGCCCTGTAATGATATTTTAAATATTTTAAATTACAGCTCTGCAGTAAGGTAATATTACTATCCGAAATAATTGTAACATTACTACTTCAACATTACTAGTCGAAAAAATCTAAATTACGTCTTTACAAGTTATAATAAAATTTTTATAGATTCATTTCATATTCAGATCTACAAAGAAGGATCTACAAATATATAAACAAACAAATGAAGAACAAACCTCCAACAATCGCTTCAGCTGCAGAATATCGCCGTAAAATCCGGCACATGAAAATACAATTGAATCATTTCTGAAACAATCGCATTCGTTTACATAAAATAAATACACCATTTAAAAAAAATCATCCTGCATTATGATTGAATGAAACCTTACAACACATGGATCTTTTCTGCATCTCATTGATTTCAAGTCAAAACATTGATTTCAAATTGTGACATGCGTGTATCACTCGCCATGATCGCAAAGTTATTACCAGCAATTGCTACCGTTCTAAAATCAATATTAACTTCTCATTACTAAAAGATGCACAGAAAACACAAGTAAAAGAAGTTTTTTCAGAAAATAAATGCCTTCATACAACAAATTCTCTTACTGGTTAGTAACGTTTTCACTTGTTTTGTTAAAGGATTTGCTATATTAATAACAGCATTAATTCCACTAAATTAAGTTTAAATTAAGCTTGAACTGTCATCTTTTAGGAAAGAAAAGTAAAAAAAATGAAGAAACAACCGCGTAAGTTGTCCTTCGGCTGAATAACAAAACCCCAATAAAACCACTAAATGATTTAGAGAAGTTAAACCATCTAATTATTACTTAGCAAGCGTGGAATTAAAATGAAACTAATCACAACGTGATATTTTATGGACCAACGTATGCTTTTAATGAAATAGAATATTTCATTACTACTGGAACTACATTTTTAACTTATCCTCCTTCGAAAGAGTAAGGATTCCATTCCGATGCTTCTTTCAATACTGGAATCATTCAAGGCAATAACGCATGAACTTCGGCTAGCTTCTTTTTAAAAGTTTTCATGTTTCCATCAGGATAGGAACCCATATCTAATTCATCCATAAGACCCATTCTTTACCATAAAAACAATACAAAATGAACACGAAAATTGTTCCACAAATACAGGAACTAATAAATGATAGAGAGTAATAAATAATATGATAAATCGATGATACCTTATTTTTAACCCCATTCCAATCATTTTAGCCCATGCAACCAAATCACGGTAGGGTAATGGTTGTAGGGTTGAATGGAACAGGTGATTATGTAGTGGTTGCTACGAGATTAGGGTTAGTTTCTCGAGGAGAGTTTGGTCTTCTCTCTCTCCCTCCTTCTCTCTCTCTTTCCCATCTTTCCTTCTCTCTCTCTTTCCCATCTTTCCTTCTCTCTCCCTCTCTTCCCCTCTTTCTCTCCTTCCCTCTCTCCTATGATATTCTTGATGGAGGAATTCCTTTTCAACTTTGGAGACGATTTAAATTAATTTTGTTTTGCAAAAAGTTATATGAGCAGTGTATAGAGCAGTAATCGTTTATACACTGTGTATGGTTAATATGACACATATTTCAATACTTCAATATACATGGTTTTAAAAAGTTGAAAAAAAAAGTTCCGTTGATATATGTTTTGTCTTTATCATTTTCGGTGTGATTCCATCATGGTAACAAAGAAAAAAGAAATGATAGAACAAAATAAATTGGATGAAATGACAAATTTGGGATGTGAAGATGAAAGTGTAAATTCATATGTAATTATTATAAAAACTTCTAGCTTTGTTGTGATTCTCTCAAAATAACTTACAGTTTCCTTATTCCGGCTTGTATTCTTGGACTTAATTTAAAATCTAAAAAACTATTTTCAGGATGAACATGGTTCAATAGAAAAAGCTGCTTCGAATAAGTACGAAGAAATGACCAAATTTTCTTCGCAAATACATAAAGGGAAAAAATTAAAGTAGATTGTTGCATTGATTTTTTCATTTTTATGGCTTTAGTTAGAGATCATATTCATATTGGTTGATTAGCACACGACGTACGTTGATTTCACGTGGAGAAATCATACCCCAAACTGCTATTGAACGATCCTTAGAACTGAAATATTCACAAATTACTGAATATCTCCTGACTGTAAATACCAACAAATTTCCATTGGACGGATTCTAAAATAATTCTATATCGAAAGCGTACCAGGTAACCATCATGCTATTTTGGAAACGTAAGTGCAAAACTGCCTCAACGTGATGCATCAATGTATACAGCAGTTCTCCAATGTGCACATCCCACACTCCACAAACATTTTATTCAAAAATTTAAAGTTATAAAAACTGAAAAACTCATAGTAAAAGAAAAAAGAAAGTCAAAAAAAAAGTTTTATAAAAATTATGATCCCAGATAAAAATAATAAAGACATTATGAAATACTTGATAAATGATCAAAATGTTGCGAAGATAGATATCAACACTATCTAAAGAGAAAAAACTCAAATGTGACCAATTGAATTTGAAGCAGAAAGTAATGTCATAAAGTTGTTAATCTACGATTCAACATGTTGTCTGATCCAACATCAACGAAAAAGTAAAAAATTTGATTTTTCAAATAGTGAACACAAAATTAATACAATGTTTACATGCCTTACTGTAGTATCGCTACTTCCACTAATAATGACTCGATCATCATACTGTAGATAAAGCACCGAGCCAGTGTGTAAAGTTTTCGAACATTGTAAATCTTTTCGCTGCCAGATCTTGATTGTGTGATCTCGTAGTCCCGATATTATTTTATCGTCATCATACTGTAGGCAATACACACCTAAACAATTTACTATCTTAATGCAGCAGAAAAAATAAAAGCTTAATAGGCAAAAAAATCTCTAGCCAAAAAAAGAATTTTCTGACATATTTTCAATGTCGTAAGCAACAATTTTCACAGCCAACACTATAAAGCAACATATGAAGAGTCATAAATGAAGCACCTCTACTAGGTTCTGAATGACAAGTAACATGGGATAATACATGCCGTCCATTTTGCCAATTAGATTTGAGAAATTCAATATCTTGATTTATTTTGGGATACAAATTTCTATAAAAATGATGCTGGGCTTCTAGTGAATCTATTGTATTCCTGAAAAAACACGAAGTTTTTTAGCATTAATATTTAAAAAATTAACATAAGGCTAATCAATATTCAATTTTTTTCGAATCCACTATTACAAAAAATCCTCTCACCAAAGTTTCGTTATCAAAATAAATTATGGCCAAATGAAGAGCAAGTTTGGGGTGGTGCTCAGCGTCCTTCAGTATTTCCAATAGCTCTACCACAACTATAAAAAAAAAAAAATTTCCTATGCATTTTGCCGGTATGCAGGGAATACCTCGTAAGGTCCTAGATTATCCTGACTGTTATTCTATATTTCAAGTTTTTTCTTCTTTAGGTTCTGTTATTACTTTTATTGGGTTTATATTGTTTAATTATTTAATGATTGACTCTATTTTTTTTCTCGTTTTTTAGGTATTTCTTTTTATAATGGGCATAGTCCTTCTTATATTTCTAATGTCCCTCCTTTACCTGATTCTTTTTTGGAGGAGATTTTAGGTTTTGGTTTATGCTGAAAGGTTATTGGTAAGAATACCCCTAGTTATAGGTATCGTCGTGTTGGCTATGGTTATTATAGTAAGTAATTGTAGATTTAGGTTAATTTTTAAACTTTTAGTTTTCAAAACTAAAGATTTTATTCTATTTTTTTAAAGTTATAGAATTTTTTATTTTGAATTTTTTAACTTTTTTGTTATATTTTTTTTATTTTAGTTTTTTTATCTGTTTTGTTTTTTTGTCTGAGATTTTTAGATTGAGATCCTATAAAAAGTTGCATTATGATATGTTTGGGAATTTTATTTATAAGTTGTTATATTTCTTTGGGTGTCCATGTATGATATTCTTATTTTATTGTTCTGTTTTTTTTAAGTGGTATTTTTTCTTTGTTAACTTATTTTTGTAGTATTTCTAGTTGTAGTTATTATTATAATTATGGTTATTTTTTTGTTGTTTTTGTTTTTTTTTGTTTTTTATTTTTTATTTTTTTTGATTATGATTTCTTTTTTTTTAATTTTGATTATGATTTATTAAGTATTTGTTATGATTTTAATTTTTATTATGTTTTTTGGGTAATTTTGGTTTCATTTATTTTATTAAGTTTAATTAGATTTAATTTAGGTTGTGATAGGTTTATACGTGGATTGTAAAAATATTAAATAGATTTTACTATATCTGATTACGGCTCAGCTAGAATAATATTTTTTTTTTTTTGGATTTAGTTTAAATTAAAATTTCTTTTTTTGGATTAGAAGATATTTTCCAAAATTTTAGTTGGTTTTTTAAATTCTTTGATTTTTCTTCCTGTTAGTTATAGCTTGACTTATATATGAAATTTTGGAAGTATATTGGGCATTATGTTAATATCTCAAATTATTACTGGGTTTTTTTTAACTTTTTACTATACAGCTGGTGACACTTTTAGTAGTGTTCAGCATGTTATATTTGAAGTTAATTTGGGTTGGCTTATTCGTATTATACACTCTAATGGTGCGTCTATAATTTTTTTATTTGTTTATTTACATATTTTTAAAGGGCTAATTTATGGTAGTTACCGTTTGTCTGGTGTTTGAATTAGTGGTGTTACGATATATCTAGTTTTAATGGGTATTGCTTTCACTGGGTATGTATTAATTTGGGGCCAGATAAGATATTGGGCAGCAGTTGTTATTACTAGTTTGATAACTTCTGTGCCTTATTTGGGTAAGTATTTAGTGTGGTGGATCTGAGGAAGATTTAGTGTTTGTGAAAATACTTTGAAGTTTTTTTATTCTATCCATTTTATTTTTCCTTGATTGCTATTGGTTTTAGTTGTTTTTCACTTATTTTTTTTACATTTTATTGGCTCTAGTTCTAGGTTATATTGTCACGGTGATTATGATAAGATTCATTTTTTTCCTAGCTTTTGATTTAAGGATGGTTTTGATATTTTTTTTTAATTTTGTTTAGTTTGTATTTTTCTTTTAATTTAAGTGATCCTATAATTTTTGTTGAATCCGACTCTATAGCTAGTCCGGCACATGTAGTTCCTGAATTGTATTTTTTGTTTGTTTTTACTATTTTGCGTTCTGTACCAAATAAGTTGTTTGGTGTTATTTTGATATTTGGCTCTATTTTTGTTTTGTTAATTTTTATTTGGTTTAGTAATTACCAGACTATGTTGGATAATATTTTATATTTTTTATCTATATGTTTTGTTTGAGTTTTTTTTTTTGGTTAACTTGGGCTGGTCATTATCCTACCGACTATCCCTTTAATTATTCTAATTTAGTTTGTACTATTTTTTATTTTGTTTTTATTTTTTTATGTGTTTTGTCAATTTTTTAAGTTTTAAATTGTTTAGTTATATTTTTAGTATAATAAGTATTATAAATTTAGAATTTATAGGTAGAAAATACAATTTTTTTAAAATTTCGTAGGTATCATAAAATGGAGTTTAGTTATTATCCGATTATATTTGGCGTAGGTGTTTTAGGAATTGATTTTGGGTTAGTTTTGTTTATGAATATAGGTATTTTTTTCCTTTTTTTATCTGTCTTTTATATCTTTTATATATTTCTTTTTTATGGATGAAGGATGTTTTTTTGGAAGATGTTAGTGGTCAATATTCTCTTTATGACTATCGAATGTTTAGCCAAGGATTTCGTTTATTTTTATTTAGTGAATTGACTTTGTTTTTTTCTGTTTTTTGAACTTTTTTAGATTCTTCTTTGTGTCCTTTGACCTGGTTGGGCGGGATTTGGTCCCCTATTGGTATTTTATCCCCAGATTATTTGGGCATTAATGGTATGCCTAGTTTATTTTTGATAATAAATAGGCAGGTTTTGAAATATTCTCGACGTTATCTATGTTTGAATATTAATAAATGTGAAAATTTATTGTTATTGTGTATTTTTATTGGTGCTTTTTTTTGTGTTTTCAATTTTTTGAATACACTCATAATTGTTTTGTTATAAATGATAGAATTTATGGTAGAGTTTTTTATATTGGCACTGGCTTACACGGCAGTCATGTATTAATTGGTGTTTTTTTTCTTGTTATTAATTTTTTTCGTGTTAAATTTCACAATTTTAATTGGTACCACACTCAAGCGTATGATATATCTATTGATTACTGG